ACCCAAACGGGAGGTTTCAATCTAAGTACTGGTTCCTTGCTCCCCGTGAAGAATTGGCACCATGGGCGGGGGGGAATGGGGCGGAGTGTGGGTACCCCATTTTGACAGGTAATCGGTCCCACTTCTGCTGCGATTACCTAGGTGATCAGCAACGGAAGTTGTCCCCCCTGTAGTCTTCTGGGACACGAGACTACAGGACCATTCACAAGGCGCAGTGTTACTTGCGCATGCGCAGTGGGCACCTGGCGGTGAAGCTGTAAGCTGCCACAGCTAGGTGCCCACACTGAAGATGCCAGCCCTGAGGAGTGAGGACAGCCGATGAAACCAGCCATGGTGAGGACACCACTGGATCAAAGGAAAAGTGAGTGGCTGTTATTTAAAAGTCAACAGCTACAGTTTTTGTAGCTGCTGTCTTTTTGTTTTTTGCTTGGACTGGAGCTCCACTTTAAGTTTCACTATAAAGTTAGGTTCGGTGTGACAGAAGCATTGGAGCAGGACCTACATGACTGGGTTTAAAGGAGTCTGGTATAGGACAGGTTTTTCCTGTAGGTAAAAGAAATAGGAGTCAAGGGGTACTTACCAAATTGATAAGTTAGGCAGGAACAGGTGGGACCTCAAGGGAAAGTCTGTAGGGGGATCCCAGGAAGACTTCAGATGGATGAGAGCTGGGGTCGAGATAACTTCAAGATAAAGTCAGTAGGGGGGTCCTAGGAAGACTTCAGATGGATGAGAGCTGGGGTCGAGATAACTTCAAGATAAAGTCAGTAGGGGGGTCCTAGGAAGACTTCAGATGGATGAGAGCTGGGGTCGAGATAACCTCAAGGGAAAGTCAGTAGGGGGGTCCTAGGAAGACTTCAGAGGGATGAGAGCTGGGGTTGACAAAACGTCAAGGGAAAGTCAGTAGGGGGATCCTAGGAAGACTTTAGATGGATGAGAGCTGGGGTTGAGAAAACTTCAAGGAAAAGTCAGTAGAGGGGTCCTAGGAAGACTTCAGATGGATGAGAGCTGGGGTCGAGAAAACATCAAGGAAAAGTCAGTAGGGGGGTCCTAGGAAGACTTCAGATGGATGAGAGCTGGGGTCGAGAAAACATCAAGGAAAAGTCAGTAGGGGGGTCCTAGGAAGACTTCAGATGGATGAGAGCTGGGGTCGAGAAAACATCAAGGGAAAGTCAGTAGGGGGATCCTAGGAAGACTTCAGATGGATGAGAGCTGGGGTCGAGAAAACTTCAAGGAAAAGTCAGTAGGGGGGGTCCTAGGAAGACTTCAGATGGATGAGAGCTGGGGTTGAGAAAACGTCAAGGGAAAGTCAGTAGGGGGATCCTAGGAAGACTTCAGATGGATGAGAGCTGGGGTCAAGAAAACTTCCCACCCTCCCTCCCATCTTTAATTGAGTTGATGGGTACGTCATAGCAGCTGATAGGGTACAATGTCCTACAAGATGGTCATTAAAGTGGTTCTAAAGCCTCAATTTGTTTTTTTCTTAAAAATATGAAACACATCATACTCACCTGCTCTGTATAATGGATTTGCACAAAGCAGCCCCAATCCTTTTCTTCTCAGGTCCCCTGCTGGCGCTTTTCCCCCTTGCCGAGCGTTCCCAGAGCAAGCTGCTTGCTCTGGGGGCACTCGTGTGCTTGCTGCCGAGCCGCCTCTCTGTGTCTATGGGGGCTCAGTTCCACTCCCGCTTCCTCCTCACTGGCTGTGATTGTCAGCAGGGAGTCAATGGCTCCTGCTGCTGTGTCCCAGCCAATGAGGAGGGTGACTCCCATGAGAGCTTCAGCGCTCATGCACATCTCTGGATCACGATTGGGCTGAGGTAAAATATTAGGGGTGGCTGAGGGGGGAGCTGCACACTGAAGGTTTTTTTACCTTCATGCATTCTAAAACCTAAAGCCTTTAGAACCACTTTAAGGGCAAAATATACATTGGTAAGGACCCGTCTTAGGTACCACTCCCCTTATTCTGTGTGGTTCAGTGACAGTGAACTGGGGGTTGTTCAGGGTTGTATCGGCTATTAGCGGTTCAGTTCTATTGCCTTACACCAAGAACAGACCAAAACCCATGGCTCCGCTCCAGACTTGCTCCTTTCCTCTCATACGGACAACATGGCTGCTGGCTACCACAGCCCATCTTGACTTTCAGACAAAATTATGACAAATATTAGCCACACTCCAGAACTTGGCTCTTCTTTCTGTGTTTAATTGGTCAAAACAAGAAGCAACTGCATACACTGATGTCTTCACCTGAAACCAACCTTCACCGACGCGTTTCACCAACGCTAGCTTGCTCACAAGGATAGGGGAACATGTTAACATGATCTAGGGGGAAGATCCCCATTCCTTGTGAGCAAGCCAGCAATGGTGGAACGCATCAAGGAAGGTTGGTTTCAGGTTAAGGCATCAATGTATGCAGTTATTTTTTCTGAAAAATTAACCAGAAAGAAGAAAGTTCTGGGGCGTGGCTTATATTTTTCGCACTATTGCCTTATACACTACATTTGCCGCACTTTTCCTTTGACCGCAGTTCCTCATGCCACCTATTCCTATGAACTTTATACAACAAGCACACCTCAAAAGATTTAATAGGTGGTATGATTATGAAGCAAGGGCCAAGTCTGCTAAAAACGCTGAACCTTCGCTTGTTGGGTGTTTCATCTCAAAGCCCCGGCGCAATACAATAGAGTTCACCGTTTACTTTCATCGCTTACCTGGGGAAGAACCAATTTAAAGTACAACTAAAGACCTCCAGAATCCATCCGCCCAATTATCAAACCTGAGAGATTCATCTCCAATGATCTTTAGCCTCCAAACATTTTCGACAAAGGAAGCTGCCACCTTCCCGACTAACATCGCAAATAATCAGCTTCTCTACATCTCATCGATAGATTGTTCTCCAGAAGCTGTGACAGGACTATTAGGCTCCAACCCTGCCAACTATTCCTAATTGGACAGCCATGATGTATTTCACAAATGGTGGGATTCTCTGGATCAGATCTCCACCTCTCAGGTGTGGGGGGGGGGGGGGGAGGGGTAGGTATAGCCACACGCAATACAGTCTATTTTTTTTATGGCACAGTTTTCTTATGCTTTAAAGGGTCATTTTTTTTTATTAGATCCTCCACCAAGCATGAAGTCATGTTTTGCTCGGGGATCAAGTACTTATTTTACTCCCTGAACTGCAACTCCATTTATACCATTTGTATCAAGTTTCTTCTGGATTTTTGGTTGATATTCTGTCTCTATCATTTAAAATACACCTATGATAAAAATGATAGACCCTTCATTTCTTTGTAAGTGGGCAAACATACAAAATCTGCAGGGAATCAAATAATTATTTTCCCCACGCATACATATTTGAGCTTTGGGGTGAACACCCTAACAATTGTCAGAGCCTGGGCCTTCTGCGGTGAGCAGCAATGTTTCCTCTTGCTGAGCCACCTGGAATGCTGGCCAGCTCCCTTGACAATCATTTGGATGGTCCTTTCTGACCTTGTTTGTCATGAACCTTGAACCCCTTGCTCCTCCCATGGACTTCCTTATATAAGCCATGTCTTTACACTTCCTGTTTCCCAGATTATTGTGCTCTCCAGCCATATCTTGATCCTTGCCTTCTCTGCTGTTATCCATATTTTGCTACCACTTGTTATTGACCCTTGGCTTGTTCTCGCCTATGCTTCTGCCTGATCCCAACCTGCGACTGCTCATTACCGACCTTGGCTTGTTCTCTCGCCTACACTTCTGCCTGATCCCAACCTGCGACTGCTCATTACCGACCTTGGCTTGTTCTTGACTACGCTTCTGCCTGACCCAAACCTGCGACTGCTCCTTACCGACCTTGGCTTGTTCTCGACTACGCTTCTGCCTGATCCCAACCTGCGACTGCTCATTACCGACCTTGGCTTGTTCTCGACCACGCTTCTGCCTGATCCCAACCTGCGACTGCTCATTACCCACCTTGGCTTGTTCTCGACTACGCTTCTGCCTGATCCCAACCTGCGACTGCTCATTACCGACCTTGGCTTGTTCTCGACTACGCTTCTGCCTGATCCCAACCTGCGACTGCTCCTTACCGACCTTGGCTTGTTCTCGACTACGCTTCTGCCTGATCCCAACCTGCGACTGCTCATTACCGACCTTGGCTTGTTCTCGACTATGCTTCTGCCTGATCCCAACCTGCGACTGCTCATTACCCACCTTGGCTTGTTCTCGACTACGCTTCTGCCTGATCCCAACCTGCGACTGCTCATTACCGACCTTGGCTTGTTCTCGACTACGCTTCTGCCTGATCCCAACCTGCGACTGCTCATTACCGACCCTGGCTTGTTCTTCACTACGCTTCTGCCTCATCTCAACCTGTGACTGCTCATTACCGAACTTGGCTTGTTCTCGACTACGCTTCTGCCTGATCCCAACCTGCAACTGCTCATTACCGATCTTGGCTTGTTCTCGACTACGCTTCTGCCTGATCCCAACCTGCGACTGCTCATTACCGACCTTGGCTTGTTCTCCACTACGCTTCTGCCTGATCCCAACCTGGGTCTGCTCATTACCGACCTTGGCTTGTTCTTGACTACGCTTCTGCCTGATCCCAACCTGCGACTGACTGCTCATTACCGAACTTGGCTTGTTCTCCACTACGCTTCTGCCTGATCCCAACCTGCGACTGCTCATTACCGACCTTGGCTTGTTCTCCACTACGCTTCTGCCTGATCCCAACCTGCGACTGCTCATTACCGACCTTGGCTTGTTCTGGACTATGCTTCTGCCTGATCCCAACCTGCGACTGCTCATTACCGACCTTGGCTTGTTCTTGACTACGCTTCTGCCTGATCCCAACCTGGGTCTGCTCATTACCGACCTTAGCTTGTTCTTGACTACGCTTCTGCCTGATCCCAACCTGTGACTGCTCATTACCGAACTTGGCTTGTTCTTGACTACGCTTCTGCCTGATCCCAACCTGCGACTGCTCATTACCGACCTTGGCTTGTTCTCCACTACGCTTCTGCCTGATCCCAACCTGCGACTGCTCATTACCGACCTTGGCTTGTTCTCCACTATGCTTCTGCCTGATCCCAACCTGCGACTGCTCATTACCGACCTTGGCTTGTTCTCGACTACGCTTCTGCCTGATCCCAACCTGCGACTGCTCATTACCGAACTTGGCTTGTTCTCGACTACGCTTCTGCCTGATCCCAACCTGCCTGATCCCAACCTGCGACTGCTCATTACCGACCTTGGCTTGTTCTTGACTATGCTTCTGCCTGATCCCAACCTGCGACTGCTCATTACCGACCTTGGCTTGTTCTTGACTACGCTTCTGCCTGATCCCAACCTGCGACTGCTCATTACCGAACTTGGCTTGTTCTCCACTACGCTTCTGCCTGATCCCAACCTGCGACTGCTCATTACCGACCTTGGCTTGTTCTCCACTACGCTTCTGCCTGATCCCAACCTGCGACTGCTCATTACCGACCTTGGCTTGTTCTGGACTATGCTTCTGCCTGATCCCAACCTGCGACTGCTCATTACTGACCTTGGCTTGTTCTCGACTACGCTTCTGCCTGATCCCAACCTGCAACTGCTCATTACCGACTTTGGCTTGTTCTCGACTACGCTTCTGCCTGATCCCAACCTGGGTCTGCTCATTACCGACCTTGGCTTGTTCTTGACTACGCTTCTGCCTGATCCCAACCTGCGACTGCTCATTACCGAACTTGGCTTGTTCTCCACTACGCTTCTGCCTGATCCCAACCTGCGACTGCTCATTACCGACCTTGGCTTGTTCTCCTCCACTACGCTTCTGCCTGATCCCAACCTGCGACTGCTCATTACCGACCTTGGCTTGTTCTCCACTACGCTTCTGCCTGATCCCAACCTGGGTCTGCTCATTACCGACATTGGCTTGTTCTCGACTACGCTTCTGCCTGATCCCAACCTGCGACTGCTCATTACCGACCTTGGCTTGTTCTCCACTACGCTTATGCCTGATCCCAACCTGCGACTGCTCATTACCAACCTTGGCTTGTTCTTGACTACGCTTATGCCTGATCCCAACCTGTGAATGCTTATTACCGACCTTGGCTTGTTCTTGACTACGCTTATGCCTGATCCCAACCTGTGAATGCTTATTACCGACCTTGGCTTGTTCTTGACTATGCTTATGCCTGATCCCAACCTGTGAATGCTTATTACCGACCTTGGCTTGTTCTCGACTACGTTCTGCCTGATCCCAACCTGCGACTGCTCATTACCGACCTTAGCTTGTTTACTGACCACGCTTCCATTTGATCCTTACCTGCTTAATACTACTGGACCTCCACTTGCTCACCTCCTGGTGGGGTGATCCTGAGGGCCGCGACCTGGTGCTAACACGCAGCAAAATCCATCTCCACCATCAGGAGCTCTGGTGAGCACCGGTTGGTACTTAGACTCCACACCTTGGGTGAGCCCACTCCTCCGCCATGGTGACCTGCCTGTGTACCTATCCTGCTGGTTTCAGGTGAGCTTTTCCACTGCTATAGCAACTGGTTTTTGAGCCTGACCCCTGATCGTGACAGCAATAGGCGGAGCATTTGTGGAGCATTAATACCATTAAACTTTATTATAGGCGTTCGTGGTGTGGTTTTAATGCTTGGCAAACACCTCAAAAACGCTCATAGGGTGTTTGGGGAGCATTAAAAATGCTTCTCTAACGCCTGTCAAAGGCTCCGGAATGCCTAACGCCTGTCAAAGGCTCCCGAACGCCTGTCTAACGCCTGTCAAAAGCTCCCGAACGCCTGTCTAACGCCTGTCAAAGGCTCCCGAACGCCTGTCTAACGCCTGTCAAAAGCTATAGGGGCGTTTGGCAAGAGTTAGAAATAAGTCAAGTGTGAACACGCCTTAGACACCAAGCAAACCACTCATACCCTCTAGCACTCAGGAAGCATAGACCTCTAAATAATGCCGCACTATGATTATGGTCACCTTCAGGAGAGACTTCCACTGATATATTCCATTGATGCAGCCCTCCTCAGACAGGGGAACCTTCACAGAAAACTCTAACAACAAACAGGAGGACCCAAGGGCCTAACGCATTACCAAAAACCTTCATTTCATCCTCAGACACCAGCAATAAGGCATAATTCCCTCCACTAATGATGGGGCACAATTCCTCCCACTGACACCAATGATGGGGCACAATTCCTCCCACTGACACCAATAATAGGGCACTATTCCTCCCACTAACACCAATGATGGGGCACTATTCCTCCCACTGACACCAATGATGGGGCACTATTCCTCCCACTGACACCAATAATAGGGCACTATTCCTCCCACTGACACCAATGATGGGGCACAATTTCTCCCAATTACACCAATGATGAGGCACTATTCCTCCCACTGACACCAATGATGTGACACTATTTCTCCCACTGACACCAATGATGGGGCACTATTCCTCCCACTGACGCCAATGATGGGGCACAATTCCTCTCACTGACACCAATGATGGGGCACTATTTCCCAATTACACCAATGATGGGGCATGAATCTTCCCACCCAATCACAAAAAGTGCCAATGTGGCAATGGAGGAGGGGGGAGATGCAGACAAAAGAGAACCTATACCAATGATGGGGCACTATTGCTCCCACTGACACCAATGATGGGACACTATTCCTCCCACTGACACCAATGATGGGACACTATTCCTCCCACTGACACCAATGATGGGGCACTATTCCTCCCACTGACACCAATAATAGGGCACTATTCCTCCCACTGACACAATGATGGGACACTATTCCTCCCACTGAAACCAACGATGGGGCACTATTGCTCCCACTGACACCAATGATGGGACACTATTCCTCCCACTGACACCAATGATGGGGCACTATTCCTCCCACTGACACCAATAATAGGGCACTATTCCTCCCACTAACACCAATGATGGGGGCACTATTCCTCCCACTGACACCAATGATGGGGCACTATTCCTCCCACTGATACCAATGATGGGGCACTATTCCTCCCACTGACACCAATGATGGGGCACTATTCCCCCCACTGACACCAATGATGGGACACTATTCCTCCCACTGACACCAATGATGGGGCACTATTCCTCCCACTGACACCAATAATAGGGCACTATTCCTCCCACAGACACCAATGAGGGGGCACTATTCCTCCCACTGACACAATGATGGGGGCACTATTCCTCCCACTGACACCAATGATGGGGCATGATTCTTCCCACCCAATAACACCAATGAGGGGGCTCAATTCCTCTCACAGACATCAAAAATGGGGCATTTTCTACTTCCAATAGCCACAGTCCGGCCCTCATAAATTCTGAAGGACAGTAAGCTTGCTCTTTGTTTAGAAAGTTTGGAGACCCCCGACGTAGATGATAACCACTGTGGACAGCAAGGCAGTGTTACAGGCTGACCAGACGGCCGCGATGACGTCATACACGCCTCAAATGGGTGTGGCCACGCGTTTCGAGACAGAAACCCCTTCCTCAAGCTTTTCGGGTGTTAGGGCCCTTTGCAATGTTGTTATTTATTGTGTTGGCGTTGGACCTTTCTCATGGTTGGCCCCACACCCACACACATCAAGGTTTTAATTGGGGCCGTATCTCCTACTGGTAGCCTGATGTTCTTGTAAATGTGCTTCATGCTGCAATTAAATCTCGTTACATAAAATTTTCAAGATCAACCACAAAAATAGAGCAGATGATTAATCACACATTTGAGACGTTCCTGTACAATTCGGGGAAGGAAATGCTCATGGGCAAATTTAGACAGAAAATGTTCATTACCAGAGCAGAGCACAACATTTGTTTTCCTCGTTTGGCATCCCGTCGTTTGGAATCAAGTGATATATTGCTACATTTATTATTGTATGATTTTACTTTAATCATTTTATAGAGAGAGGACACTTATTCTGCAGTAATTTACAGAGAACACAAAACTCTTCACATTAGTGGCTGCTCCCAAAAGAACTTACAATTGAATGTCCCTCCCTCACTCATACACATACATTGGGGGGGCTGTCCTGCTGCAGAATACATTTGGGGCCAATCACATGCCTCCCTGATGGTATGGCATGATGGGTAAGTATCTGCCTGCATTGAGGACACCATTGATCCTGACCAAATCCCCAACTCCATTTGCAGAAAAGCCCCAATCTCACAAGGAACCTCCACCATGCTTCACAGTTGCCTGCAGACACTCATTGTACCGCTCTACAGCCCTTCGCGAATAAACTGCTTTTTTCTGCAGCCAAATAATTCAAATTTTGACTGATTGGTCCAGAGCACCTGCTGCCATTTTTATGCACCCCAGTTCCTATGTTTACCTGCATAGAACCTGGAAACAAGGCTAAGCGACTAAACTTTGCACAAAGACATAGGAACTGGGGTGCAGAAAAATGGCATCAGGTGCTCTGGACTGAGGAGTCAAAATGTGAAATATTTGGCTGTAACAGGAGGCAGTTTGTTGGTGGATGGGCGGGAGAGAGCGGTACAATATTGAGTGTCTGCAGCCAACTGTGAAGCATGGTGGAGGTTCCTTGCAGGTTTGAGGCTGCATTTCTGCATATGGAGTTGGATATTTGGTCAGGATCAATGGTGTCCTCAATGCTGAGAACTACAGGCAGATACTTATCCACAATGCCATAACCACAGGGGAGAGTGTGATTGGCCCCAAATGTATTCTGCAGCAGGACAACCCCCCCAAACATCCAGCCAATGTCATTAGGAACTATCTTCAGTGTAAAGAGGAACAAGGAGTCCTGGAAGTGACGGTTTGGTCCCCACAGAGCCCTGATCTCCCCATCATGGAGTCTGTCTGGGATGACATGAAGAGACAGAAGGATTGGAGGCGGCCGACATCCACAGAAGATCTGGGCTTAGTTCTCCGAGATGGACATAGGACAACCTACCTGCTGAGTCCCTTCACTGGGTGCAAGTCTACCTTGAAGAAGGTAAAGGGGGGCCACAGCAATACTGACCACAGGATATGGGGGGGAGGGTCACCCCAATGCTGATCACAGGATATGGGGGGAGGGGGGACACCCCAATACTGGTCACAGGATATAGGGGGAGGGGGTAACCCCAATACTAATTGCAAGATATGGGGGGGAGGGAGGGTCACACCAGATATTGATTGGATTTCTCTTTTTCTTTTCATTTTGCTAAAAATAAACTATTAACACTTCGATTCTGAAAGCATTCATTAACAGCAATTTTTGATACCTGCCTAAGACTTTTGCACGGTACTGTGTGTGTGTGTATATATATGTATGTATGTGTGTGTGTGTATACAGTTGCAAGAAAAAGTATGTGACCCCCTTGGGATTCCGTGGAGTTTTGCATGAATTGGGCATAAAATGTGCTCTGAACGTCATCTAAGTCACAACAATAGAAGAAACACAGTCTGCTGAACATAATACTACACAAAACATTAGATGTTGCCATGGTTTAATTGCACATAACATGTAAACATTCACAGTGCAGGGAGGAAAAAGTATGTGAGGCCCTAGCTTAATGACTTCTCCCAGAGCTAATTGGAGCCAGGAGTGAGCCAACCTTGACTCCAATCAG